AGGAGCGGCAGCTCGTCCCCCTGAGCCAGGCGTGGTTCAGGGCTTGGTCGCGCCGCGCACTTGACTCAGCGCGAGCGGCTGACCCGTGCGCTGGGATCCCATTCTAGAAAACGCCTCTGTCCCTGGCGGTGGGTGGGTGGGTGGGGGAAGAGGCCTTGAGCTGCCACTACCCTTGTACAAGCCTCATAGACCTGCGTTGGAAAAAAATCAGGACTGGCAATTTTTATTGTGTGGTCCAAAGTTACTGCCAGTAAAATAGTCAAGACTACAGGGTGCCAACTTAGGCCAATTCTGTGTATCAGTAGTGTTTGTTTTTTGTGGTTCTCTTGGAGGGGAAAAAATATAACCTTTAAACTGCCTGTCGCTCCCCCCCCAGCAACACTGCCAGTCTGTGGATGGTCACTGACCACCGGTTGGCACTCACATGCGTGTCCCCCCCCCTTGCCACCCACACCACCACAGCTGCCTGCAGGAGCTCCCCACTTACTGCTGCCATGTTCCTAGCACCAACAGCGCTGTTGCTGCCTGCTGGAGCTTGCCATGACCCTCAGCCTCCAGCAGCACGGCTGTCTCAATTCTACTAATTTTCTGCCACTCCAAAGGAATACATGATTTCCAACAAATTAGTCTGCTTTGAGATTTTGAGGAAGGGGAGATAATAAATATAGTGTTTAGCAACAAGACTTAGGTTCTAAAATTCTCCTTTAATTAAATTCCCTGGTGGATTTCAGAGAAAAAACACAGCTGGATGCATCCTTGACTTCATTGCTTTTTAAACAAAGAAAGGAGAGTCCATTCATTCAGATCCCAAAAGCTCAGAATTGTTTTAGAAAGGTTTGCAGCAGGCAAAGAACTTTCAAGATGTCCAAAATTGTTGAGATTTAAATTAAAAACGTGTGTTTCACTAATACCAAACACATTGAATCCAGTTGATTGTCAGTAGGAAGACTTGGCAGCTGCTGATCCTAATCTTGTCTCTTCACTCTTCTGTTTCTCTGGTACCACTACCAGATTCTGAATTCTGGCAGTAGTTGTAGTTGGCCAAATACGAATTTGGTGCATGACCCCACAAGCTTTGTTTACTCAAGTAATCCTTATTTCTGGTTATGTTGTAATAACACATTTGAGTAAGGATTTGCTGTTTAGAGCCCTAAACACCAGAGCAGCTTTGCATTATTTGCAATTTCCTTTAGCATGACAAATAGTAAGAAGCTAGTTCTAACTGAAGACAGGCAATAACAAAGTGGCCTGATATTTGTTTCAGGTATATGTGGAGTTTCTGCTCACAAATATAATAATGGTACACATCGTATTTGTCTTACTAGGACAGTGGAGATTTATAATGTATCCGAATACTCTTCCAGTCTCTACATTGGGCAAGTAACAGCAGAAACCAAGTTGTGTGTTTGTGTTGTGACCAGATAGAGTTCAGGACCTGGAAACATGTTAGTCTTATTGTACTGAAACAGAAAAAGCTTGTTTCAGGGACTGCTTTATAGATAGGGAACAGCACTGAGAATCAGGAACTCCAGGGTCCTCTTCCATGTTCTGTTACTGGCTCTCTTTGTGACCATGAAAGGATGACAGTACCTGTCTGAGGTTCTGTTTCACTCTCAGTAAAATGAGAATAACATATTCCTACTTCACAACAGCATTAAACAGATGGAAGAATGAAAGTCTTACATCAGAGTTCAGTATTTGTATATTTGTCTCTCTCAGGAGGAGGACAACAGAGCACTTAGGAAAGTTATGTACTTAAAAGCAACGCTCATTAATAAACACTTCAGATGCATATGAAAGTTCCTCCTTCTCCCTACTGTCTTTATATCTAAAGCACCACCTATCCATGTACTGTGAACAGTTTAAAAGATGGATCAGAGCTGATGACATAAGTCCATTGTCTTCTTCTTCCTCTTCCCCTCTCTTCAGACTTCCTGCATGAAGCTCATCCACCCTGAGCTGCTGCTACACCTCAGCTTCTGTAGCTACTAGCTTTTTCCAAGCCAAGTGGGGAGGAAGAGTCATGGAATGGCTATTCGAAGCAGTATGTGCTTACCTGGCTGCTAAAATCTGTGCAAACATGGTTTTGTGCTATACCATATGAAGTAGAACTACCTGAAGCAAAACCAACCAAACTTCTATTCAGTATGAGCCCTCAGGGAAGAATCATGAAGGATACAGGCTCTAGTCCCTGTTAGAGTCAGACAGCAAAGACATTTATTAGTGCCCCAAAACAGCAGCAATACCAGGGACTTACTGTGCTTCTGTGCACCTGTCCAAGAAAAAGTTGGGATGCAAACACAAGAGTTAATGCTCATGTTAAGCACTTGGCATAGAGTGCATCTCCAAAATGACTGTGCACTCTGTATTCTTGACTGAAAAGAAGGAACAACCTACAAAGTGGTCAAGCCACAGATGTCTTAATGGGGGATACCCCCTATTATTGCAACACTTTTATCTGCTCTTCTCTTGCTCCCTCCCCACACCGGCCCACAATATCTGAAACTTTCTGGCAATTGTGATAAGGCAAATGGAGTACATGGGAAGCAGAGATGGAGAGGAAGGTCATTTTCCAAAGCTCAGAAAATGGACCTTGTTGTCCAATTACATGATTTAATGGGAACCCAAGACTTGACTGGAAAAAAAATCCAGATGATGATGAGACCTCTCACACAGAAGTTTAGGTTCCAAACAAAACAATTTAATTCTAAGCAGGAATTTACTAATAACCAGAACTGAAACTATCAAACTGTGATGAAATTAGAACTTCCCGATTCACTGACAGCAGTTTCCTCTGTCGCTTGCATCAGTACACAACATTTTATTTGTAATGTGTTTTAAACCCAAGTAAAGCAAAACCTTCCTCTTTTCCATCATTAGAGGGGAGGATAAACCAATACATCAATCAATTACCAGTATTTAGATTATTTTTCTGGAATCTTCATGGTGTGGGATGAAAAATAACAATTGTGTCCACAAAATGGCAATGTTCCCACTGGCCAAGGGTGAATGGATCCTGATTGTTCAGCTTGGCAAGATACTGAGTATGGGAGTTTGATAACCAAACAATTTTACCTGATGAGGTAGACTAGTAAATGAGGATTCTGCAGGTATGCTCTAGCATCACACACTATCCTTTCTTCAAATCCAGCACTTGCTCTTAGTCCTCTGAATGGGAAAAAACACAGCTCGAATGCATCAGATGATACTCATGTCATACACCTCTCTCACAGAACCTCCTCAGATCTGCAAGAGGTGAACTTTACTCCAAGGTGTCAATGGTGACATAATATGATATCACAGAGTCCTTTCAGTTGAGATATGATGTCCTGTATCTTGAGCATAGACTGCTGCATTGCTTAGACCTGTTAGAGAAGTCTCTGTACTGTCAGCCAACAAAATAAGGTCTGTTTTTATCTCTGGTTAGATACATAATTCCCTTAGCAGAGTAAGGCAACAATGATGAAGAATCAGATGACACCACTGACAGCACAAAATCTATACCCCCTCCTCCTACAAAGTCAGATGTCACTCTAGCAAAATCCAGTTCCGACTCCTCAGCAATGGAGAATGCTGGCCAGAGCAGCTTCATGTGGAGTAGTTACCTTGCTGATGGTAGTCAGCCCATCAAAGGCCTGTAGTGAGCAGAAAAGAAAATTAGAGACCTATCCTGGCAGGAATTCACTCAGAGCTACGATAAGCTCTCCTGCAACCAGGAGCTTAAGATAATTCCCTCAGTGAAGACAGTTTAAATATGTATTTGTGTAGATCACGCACCAGTCTCCGCACTCCCACCTCCAGCAAGATCCCTTCACTAGTTGAGCAGCAGCACTTTATTTTTTTTCTACTTGAACCTCCTACTGGTGATGGAAACTGAGTGGGAGAATAAAGCTGTACAGGGACAGAGAACGGTTACTGACATGCACATATACACACTCCTTCCCCAACTGAAAGAAGAAACTGGAGAGTAATAAGATTTGCAGTTCCTCATCATACTGCACTGACTTTTTATTGTACTTTGCAGCACTTGGTCCCAACTAAATTTAAATGTTCATTTGGGCTTCAGTTATTTTCCTTGAGGTTTCCAGTTGTGAGTGTTAAGTGTTCTCCAGAGAATTAAAATGCCTGTTCTCCTCAACTTCACTACACCCTGCAGAGGACAGTAAAGGAAATCAGGGAGGCAATTCAGTGCCTGAATCAAAGGGTTCTCTCCTACCATCTTCTTGCTTGACAAGGCATTGTTCAGCCAACAACAGGATAACCAGTTGGATTCCTACTGATAATCAGTTCTCCACTTTCCTCCTCTGCTACAAATTCCCAGCCAAAATCCCTTAATAATTGTGAATTAGACTGACTCCTCCACCCCCACAAGGTTCTCAAGGGCCTGCACAAATAGCTGAAATCTAACCTTGTAAAAACAAAATACAAATGAGTTATCCAGAATTTCTTACAGTCCCATACATCAGTCAGGGCCAAGCTCATATGTAATGATCAGTCTCTTCATTTGTATAGCCCCTTTTCACCTGTGCAGTGGGAAGGATGATGAGAATAGCTATCCTACCTTGAAGGGGGAGGGGAACTACAAAATTACATTACTTTGAAGCCAAAAAAGTACTGGGGACCCTCACCTGCAAGAATAATACAGTGGTAGAGGATTATGAAAGGGAACCCCTCTTCCTTGTTTTTTTCTGTGGTAATGTCACATATATGAGCTCCCTCTAGTGGGTAATCATCATAGAACTATTCTGGCCTCATTTTTTTCCATGCATCCCTTGGAGCTGCAGTGTTGGTAAATTAATAACCCCTCTCTCTTCTAGTGCAGATAAGAGCAGGAATAGTTGAAGTCAGATGCAATTTGATACAATGGTTACAGTTTGTGCATTCATTTACCGATAGAGCAAATCAGACTTCACAGACCACAATCTGCTCCTGAGTCTTGTTTGTGCAACTCAGATGACTTGACTTTGGTTTTATCAGAGTGTAAGGAACAGAACACAGTCCAATAACTGTCATACCCATCTGTATGTAACTTCACATGCCATCACTGATTACTAATATACCATTAACTGTTTTATACATTCTAGGCAAAAGCATAATGCTGGAACAGTTACTCAAGACTTGCAAACTCAAGACTGCAAGCACAATTACCAGACAGAGTAACTTTGTTTACATTACAGCTGAAAAGAATGAAGTCACAAATTAAACAAGGAAATCAACAAACACTGAACATTTATATTAAACCAAGTAGTAATGTAACAAAACACAAGTCCTTGTCTTCCAAATATGTACTATTGTGACTGAAGTGCCAGGTAATGTGGCACTTCTTGTGCAGTTAAGTCACAAGAGTTTGCAGTCTAAATTTGTGACATTCTGCATTTTAGTTCTCATTCCAGTAACAAAACTAACTTACATGGTTTAACAGTGCAACCTCCAGCCTTCACCTGGGCCACAGATGCTCTCTCTTCATGGAATACTGCAGGAAAAGTCTGAGGGTCCTGATATAGCAGTGGCTTTGTGTAAAGGACAAGGTGACATTATCTAGGTTTACAACAATGGATTTTTCCCCTACTTCCAAACTCCTTAGTTGGATAGAGGCAATTTGTTGAGCATCAAGATCAGATTAATCTGTTTTCTTGGATTTTCCAGAAAGGGGGAATATGGATGGGGAATATTTTACAGGACTCTGAATTGTTTGCTGTTGTATTTGCTTTACAGGGTTATGCTAGTAAAGAACTTTTAGTTGTTTTTATACTGATAAATGTTTACTCCGTAGGGTTAAAAAACACACCTCTGATTAACCAAAGGAAAAAAAATCCTTCAGTGCACACACACACAGGACCTTTGCATCCTTAACAGCATAACAGAGGTCTCTGTATTTAACTCATCAATTTCCATACCATGTCCAGCTCCAGTATCTGTGATGTTCGTAAAATTAATAGATGTTAATCTTTTGTTTCCTAGTCTCTGGAATCTGCTGGCTCTGACTGGCCTTTGGCTACAGTAATTGTAGCAGTTTCCATGTCTAGAGGTTGCAAAGGGGCCAGTATCAGCTGGTACTTTTCTTCTTAGAGCACAGGGAAGCTTCATCCTGTGGTTTAAAACAAAGGTAATTTATTATCTTCACTGGCATTTTTCTGTAGTGAGTCGAGATGTCAGCTGGTCTTTTCCAAAAGCAGCCTCTCCACAAAAAGCAATGGTGAAATTCAACTTAGTCTAAGTGTAGTGTGGAGTTCAGAAAAAGGCAAACACTTTCTGAATAGTATTTCTGTTCAAAGTACTTAATTACATTTAGGTTACTACGTAATACAGAAGATAATTCTATACACTGTATGGAACAGTTAAATCATTACACTCCACTCCACAGAACAGCAAACTAAAAAGGAATAAGATTTATCATGCTATCATAATAGACACTTAATTTGTGTGACAGAAGTGCTAAAGCAGCTTAACTATGATCAACTAGAATAATTCATAATCAAATGCAAAGTGACCCCTGTAGCAAGTTGGAGTTCTAGGGGTAGCCATAACATCCCCCAGTGACCACACAACCCTTGCTCTGCTCCACCTCTAGGTTACCCCCACCTTCTCACTTTCCTACCACACGTTGATGTACATATTTGATGTAAAGAGTGGCTGCCTAATGGGTCCTAGAGGATGCCACAGTTCCTCTGGCAGCTAGCAGGTCCCTCCTGGACCCCATCAGTCTTGACTCTGCCCTCACATTAAGTGGGGCCTCTTGGACTGACCTTGCCCTGTGGGCAGATAGAGCCTTAAGGCTATTCATAGCCTCCAGCCTCCACTATAGCTGTGGCTATGCCTCACAGGTGTTGCTATCCAGCCAATCTTCCTGTCTTGGGGCCTTGGCCTTTCCGGCCTTTGCCCTGTTTCTCTCACTGGGCCATCTAGCCAGATGGACCCAACTTCTGGACTTCAGCTCTTTTTGTGCCTACTTTGACTCTGTGCTGGGCCCTCTGGCCCTCCCTCTGCCTTTTTCCAGGCTTGCAACATACCTGTACCACTCAGGTACCACTGGGACCTCCATGCCTCCCCCAAGAGGCCAACTCAAACCAGTGGTCTAACTACAATGAACAAACAAGCCCTCTGGCCATAACATAAACTAAATCTGCTCCAGATGCTGTCTATAGAACAAAGCTTCCCCTTACCCTGGGCTGCATTTCTCTGTAAGCCATCAGTGTCTTACTGGCAGTCCCCAAGGTAGTTCAAGAATCAGCCAGGCATCTTCCTGCGGTCTTCCTGGCCAGAAGCTCTTCTCTCTGTGGCTCAGACTTCCCTTCTGGCTCAGACTCTGGTCTGATATACTGTCTACACCCTGCCCCTTCTGACCAGGGGCCTGACAGCTGGTCTCCAAGGCAGCTCACAACCGCTGTTCTGGTAGCATCCCTGCTGCCCAAGCTTGGCTCTGCCCTACTGTCCTATTGCAGAGCAGCTAGCTCTGCAATAGGCATCATAACCCTTTGTCTTTAGCTGTTTACTCCCTTGTAGCTAACTCAATCTAGGAAGAGTTCTCCTGCCCAGCTGCAGGTGTGGCCCTTCCTTTAATGGGCAACTCCCTGACCAGACAGCAGTGTTTCTCTGCTGCCTTCTCTCTTGTAGTTGGTCTATATTCTGCCGCCTGGACTCTTCTTATCAGCTGCAGTTTCTCTCTTTCCTTACAGTAGCAGGAGCCCAAGAGTCCTCATTACAACCTTTTCACAGTATAAAGATATAAAGCACATCTTGGGAATGAATGTACACCTCAGATGGACACCTGGGAAAGCAGAAAATGTTTTAAACCTTTGAAAGGTAAAATCTGTTAAAAAACAGACTGGGTTTGGTCCCTGTAGAATGAATCCCCCCACTCCACAAAAATATAACATTTATCTTGCATCAACTGTGAAAGGATCCTGTTTGGTCCCATGTTTGAATTGGACCAGCATTCCCTGGGCCCATTCTGCATGATCAGACTTGTCCTCTAAGGAAAATAGGAAAATGTCAGTTTTCAGCATGGATGCTTCAAAATTAAGAGAAACATCTAGAAAATTACTTTAATTAAAGTTTGTGGCTAAATTATATTTTTAGTGTCTCTGAGTAGGGTCAGATGACAGCAGCTTAAATGGTGATGGCTGGTCTCCTCCTGCTCTTATAGCTACCTTGTCAGCAGTCTAGTCCTACTCCTTTACATGCTGCACATGTAAAGCCTAACAAGAGGTGCTACTCACTACAGTATTTTCCACCTAAATCAAACCAGTGAATACAACTGTGATAACTGTATCAGTCAGTCCTTGGGAAATGGGTAACTTGTATCCCAAAATTATGCTGTCTGGGGATCTATCCTGGAAGTGTTTAAATTTCTCCATGCACACAACTTCCTTCCAGGGTAGTAGCTCAGTGCAACTTCATTTGTTAACAGGAGAGTTGGGGACAGGTGGGGCATGGGGAAGAGGGGGAGGTGCCCCAAAATGTTGTTTGCATTTTATTCCTTTGCTGTCCCATGCACAAATAATCTACATCACAGTGACACTTGCTCTGGTGACTAATGCCAGAGATCCTGGTTTTCTCTGTTTAAAAACACAAATTCTCTGGTATAAAGAAAAAAACCCCAAATTTTCTGACTTAAAAACCCAAAATCTGTGTTTTTCCACAATTAAAATTAAACACCACACACACACACACACACACACACACAGGTATCAATTGAATATAATTGCACCCCCTGCTGCTTTGTGGCCTTGAGCAGCCCTGATATGCTGTTGCCCCTCACTCCCAAGCCATAAAGCCCTAGCTCTACTGGTGCCCCTCACTCCCAACCCGCAGCCCTCTAGCCCTGTCGGTGCCCCTCACTCCTGACTCATAACCCCTTAGCCCTGCTGGTGCTCCCTACTCTCAACCCACCCTGTCAGTGTCCTTTACTCCTGACCCATAGCCCCCCACCCCGTTTGGTGCCCCTCACTTCTGACCCGCTGTTCCCTCACTCCAAGTGTGTGAACAAGAGAATAGCTGTGTGGGGAATGTGGGGGGAGGCACAGGTGACTGGGGGGGCACATACCCCCCAAGATTTCTGCACCCACAACAGGACATGGGGCTACAGCAGGGCCAGACCGCCTCTAGGCAGGAGCCATTTCTGTGGCCCAGCAGAGGGACCCAGTGCACCATGATGAGTAGGCATGGCAGGGGCAGCAGCAGTGGTATTAGTGTGGAGTTGTGCCCCCTGCTGCTGCCAGGTGGGCAGGGAGCACCTCAGCTTGGCAGCACAGTTATCCCTCCCACCCTGAGGTCCCCAACTGGGCCACAGAGACAGCTCCTGGCCAGAGCTGATCCACAAGCCCCTCCGTGGGCACAGAAGTCTTGGAGGGCACTGCCCCCTCCACCCCGCTAACATATGGCCTGGGCCCCTTTCCCCCTCACCCAACATGTGCCTTGGCCCCCTTCCCCACTTTACCTAATGTGTGGCCTGGGCCTCCCCCACACCTCACTGCCCAGGGACTTACCTGGAGGGAGCTGTGGGAGCAGCTCTCCACCACCCTGCCTGGCTGCCAGGTGCATGAGCGTATGGAACAGACAAGTGGAACAGAGGACAGCAGCAGCAGCAGCGGGTCCTCTAGTAGAAACTGGAGCAACAAAGACAGAGAGACCACTTGAACTGAGTATGTGACCCGGGAAGTGGGGCAAGGGTGGAAATGAAGGAAAGGGGGGGACCAGAAGGGACTGATTTTTTGTGTGTGTGTTGCACTCATTTGTGGATATTGTAACGGGTACGGGTGGCCAGCAGGCCTTTGTACAGGTGTGCGGGTGCGGATTTCTGTAATGGGAAACGTTTAACCATTTTGTGATGTAATAGGTAGAGTGTAAATATACATAACTTTATATATCTAGAGAGACAAATATTTTTACAAAAAAAAAAAAATACGCATGTGGTGCCCCCTGCCTGGCTGCCCTCCTCCCATAGCCCTTGTGAGCTGGAAATCTGCAAGCCTGCAAGGGGAAACCCACCATTTCCTGCATATTTGACTTTAAAGGCAAAAATCCATGATTTTCTCCTTTAAAAAGAAAAGCCCCATTTTGTTCCATTCAAAGAGAAAATCTGCATTTTTCCATAGCAAATGGAAAATCCAGATCCCTGAATGACTAAATGCTTCTCCCTTTATAGCTCACTAGCTCTGCTCCAAGCATCAGTGAAGGTTATTGAACAGTGACACAAGATTTCAAGCCCCAGCATGATCTCAATAGCAATTGTCTTAATATGATTAGTACCCATTCCAATGTTTTTTAGCATCTGAAATGAATCAAGTCACCAAACTGCCTGGGAGGGAGAAAGGAAGATGGTCTCACGGGAAAGGGGTATGGGATATCTGGGCTCTGTTATTGGATCAGCTGTTTTTCTATTTGACTCTGGTTATGTCACTTAACCTCTCTGTGCCTTGGTTTCTATAGAATGCTTAGCTACCATCATAAAGAGCTTTGTGCTCTGGAAATAAAAAAAGTTATCTGGTGCTTTACAATTCAATGGCTTCGCTACTGTATGAAGCAATGACACTTCATTCATCAATGTTTGTAAAATACTTAGAGAGCCAAAAATTAAGACAGTTAAAGCATGTTACATATTAATTAATCTTTTCAAAATTTGGAACTCCCTACAGTTACCACATGCTAAGGAATGGAACTTGGGCTTCTTTGATCTGGCCATGTCATAACAAAGCCATTGGGAAGAGAGATTTGAAACCTGTCTGACTTACTACTGTGTTTCCTGAATACACAACATGGAGAGTTTCTGACTTTAGTAAGAATGACACTTAAATAGAGAATGATCCCACATAGCATAGTAAAATGTACTGAGGAGAAAGATTCTAGCACTGCTTTGGGTAGTTACAAGATTGTGCATTTCATACCAAGGCCTTCCCTGCCTCAGTTCCATCATATCAGACCTCTTCTATGTAATTGATATAAAATAGGTCCAGAATTCAGATTTTTGATGAGTTTAAATAAAATAGTCCTCAATCTAATATTGATATAAATTATTTTTAAACAAAGACACTAAAGTTTAAGTCTTTCGCTGCCGTGACTTTAACCCAGACATTTCAACACTGCTAGTGCATAAAAGCCTGAAAGCTAAACTATTATATTTGCAACACTCATTCTATAAAAAAATGGCAATGGAAGGTCAATGTTAGTCCAAAACAGGTTATATAAAATAAGTATTTTCAAAACCCACAAGCAATAAAAGATTTCCATGATTACCATTTTGAAAAGAAAATAATAATATTCTTCAACATCTTTCTAATGTGAATGAATCAGCCAGTGAAGCTGGGTAAAACAGGCCAATTGATTAGTCTTGTTAGCTCATTTTATATTTCTGCCAAAAACAAATTGGCAAACCTTAAATTTTCTGAGAAGTAGCACAAGGAAGAAAACTCTGAATCTGAAAGAGTCCTTCTTAATATTAGGGTTATAATTTTGCACATGCAAAGAGAAACTAGGCATTGTTACTCCAAGACTCCACATCAGCACTGTCACTTTTTAAAATATATTTAATTGTTTTTAATGGCCAAACTGACACTTTCAGTGTTTTCCTTTACAATTTTCCACCCACAGTTGTTTGCTCAGTGTGAACTTTATATAGATGTTATCCAATCTATGGTATATAAATGTGTATTTTGCTTTAAGCTGAAGAAAACAAAAAGCGTTAAAATAAAGGAAACCTTACAGGAATAAACAACAGTAAGAGGTTTGGTGTTTATGCCTGGTACACCAACTCTGGGTGCAAAATGTTTATTCTTTCTGCACAAAGATCCTAGAAGTAAAGTAGTACAGAATACAGAAAATGTACATTACAGTTGGGGATTGTAATTCAACAGAATAAACATTGTCCAAAGGTTACATTTGAGTACCAGGCTCCTGGTATTCCTGGAAAAAAATGCAGACTCCTGGTTGCTGTCCCTTTGACCATGCTGAGGCAGTGTTCTGGAACCCTACATTAACTGTGTTCACTTTTCTAGCCTGCCAAAGGGAAGATATGCCTATGAAGTGAGGCCAAACAGTTAGTGGAAATCCTTGCTGAAAGTCTTCCCTAAGGATGTAACTGTGGCTTGCTATGCAGTCCTACTTGAGAAGAAGCTTGATCCATCATCTGGAGGCTTGGCACAGGACAGGAGTGCTGCTGAGCACAGACTATGCAGCTCCCAAAGAGAAGGAAGTGCCAAAGGTTACTCTGCAGTACTGCCTTTGGCCTGTATTTAGGCTCCCTGCTTCATCCAGCTTTCCTCAGGTTGGAGCTTAGGTGGGAGTGTAGAAAAGTGAAACAAACTGAGGGAGCTAGGAAAATCCTCTCACTAAATCACTGTGGTTAAAATCCTCCTGTTTCTGATCCCACTAGGAAGAATCAGACAGTCTAGCTTAAGTCTCTACAAGCTACAAAGTCTATGGTGGAAAATCAGACTTTCATGAGTAGATTATTTACTTTGTGCCTTGAGTCACACATTTGAAGGACAGAAGAGACCATCTAGTCCAGTCTCCTGCATTATGCAAACCAGAAAGTTTGCGCTGCATCCAAGATTCATGCATCCAGCCCATTACCCTGAATGTGCTAGATCATCTCTTTCACAGAAGTCATCCAACAAGTGGGAATACAACCCTAAGGCTGGGTAACGTAGTATCAGTGGGGGTGGAACTAGAGTGATGGCAAATGGAGCTACTGTGGGCAGCACTTGCAAAGAGGGGAGGAGCAATCACAGGTAGGGCAGGAATCTTTACAATGCGCCAACACCCAGTCTAGCACTTGTGCGTTTGTTTTTTTTCCGCCTGCTTAGATTGTAGGTCCAACAGGGTAGGCCCCATGATCTGAGCATGCTGTTAGCAGCTAACCAAATCAATAACTAAAGCAGTAAGTTGCAATGGCAAGAAAAGGGAACAGGTAAGTGCAGACCAAGCTATTTCAGCAAATCAGAGCCAGTGACGGGAGCAAATGCAATGTCGCTTAGGCGACAGGCGATCAGGTGATCCTAT